TGGTTAAGAACAGTCCAGGCCCTGCAGGGCAGCTTCCAGCCTGAGGGGCAGAAGCTGGTGTTGGGGATGAAGCTCTTTAGCCACAGATCTTGAGCATCAAAATAAAAGAGCGTTAAGTTGTGCGCCAAAACAAACTTGTTTTTCTCTCTTCAGAGACATGTATGCATTGCGCTGCACGCGCTCGCTCTCTCTAGTTGGACAATGGGCCAAGGGAGGAATGAGTGGTTTTGTGAACTGGGAGGGAGCGCACTGAACACGGAGCTAACAGAAGTCAAGTTGTTAGTGCAACAGTGTGCCTTGCTTCTTGTTTTTACAGGCTGAGCTGAATTCCGGCTCATAAATGACAAGAATGGCTGCTTAGTTCAGGCCGGCATAGTGCCTGTTTTTGTAAAATGGTACATCAGCTCCAATTTGCTTTGCCTATTAATGCTTCTTGAGTAGAATTCAATAGCCTTTGTGAGCTTTGTAAACCCATTTTGTCGCACGCGCACTTCAGACGATGCAAGAAGTCCAGCTCCATCACCTCCGTTGGCCTGCATGCTAACAGCCTGCACAGGTTCAGACAGAGCAGCAAAAGTTGGGCTCTGACAAGGGGAGACAACACTGGAGATAAAAAAAAAATTCCAAAACAAAAGCCTGAGTGAGAAACCAACTATAGACAGCAAAGTTTGGAAAGGAGTATATATGTTAACCCTTTCATCTCATCCTCTATTTAGACTTGGACATCTATATGAGCTATATCCCCTAGCACTTGCGCACCTCCGGGTGAATGTAAAGCTTAGTTACTTACAAAGCAAAAGACACCCTAACTTTATGAAGGTATTTTTATCCAACAGCAAAGACTACCACGGAAACTTCAGTGCAACACTTAAGGTATTCTAACCAATTCAAAGTAACTCGGGTTTTCAACAGTTTTATACAAATGTAATTAGCAAAAAATAGGAGGTCATCACCAACCATCTGGTAATGTAAAGAGCAGTCCAGATCCTGAAATCTGTAGACCCTCAAAGAGTTCAGTGGAAATCCAGGGGCCAGATTCTAGCCCACTTATTACACACATAAAAAAGCTGTTAGGGAATAAAGTGCGATTCTATTCCTCCCTGTTTGAATGCCAGAAAAATAATTAATGCAAAATGCTGGGTGCATCCTCCTCCTCCTCCTCCTCCTAGCTGCCTTTTGGCGACTTGCTCTTAAAGGTAAGATGACAGCGAGTTACAAAAGTAGGTGCACTGATGGATTTTCAGAGACTTGAACCAGGTAAAAATAATGACATGTAGATGCCCAATACGTGGAACAGAATCTGGCCACAGCCTGGGACAGGGAACACGCTACAGAATTGGAGCTTAGAAATAAGCGCACGCACATTCACAAGAACTGAAAATGCAAATGTTTCATGTGACTGACTAATTTCAAAGTTAGCTTATTTATCTGTAGTTAACAGCTAACAAATTAAATAAGCCACTGAACTTTTAGCTTTCCAATTTCCAACTCTGAATCAAATTGGGTGCTTCTGAGAAGCCAAGTGAAATGTGGTAGAATTAACACTGCAAAGCCCACTGCCAGCTGTAACTTTCTCTGGATGGACATACCAACCATGTTTTTAAAAATGGTTTTGAAATGTCACTGGGCATGAAAATAAAGGACTAGTGTACAGATTTTCTCCTCCCTCTTCCCCCGTGCATTTCTTCTCTAACAAATACTTTATTTAGCTTCGTTATTGTGAAGTGCTTGGCATGACATGTACATCCTTTCCTAGTTTGTTATATAAGTTCAGTGGATATGTTCCAGATCCAGGAGTGTTGGAATGATATTTCAGACCTATCTACTGACTTGTTTAAGAAGTCAATATGAAGGTGGATAACTTTGCTACACATATTCAAGACTAACCTTTTATTCTGAGATTTGTTTTTCCCCATTCACCTGCGGTCAACCAGTAAAGTGCAACATGGAATCACTTACAAGGATGCACAGGACAAAACTGTCCAAGATACAGTTCGTGAAGTAAAAAGCAACTTGAAAACACAAGTCACCTTTGGAACGACAAGATGATCATCAATAAGGCTGCCCTGATTTTTCACCTTACCAAATCCCAACTCAGCAGGTTCTTAAAAAGAAAATATAGAACCGTACTTCCTCTCCTTTAAAACACTGTGGACACTCGTAGACAAGAGGGTTCATCAATCACTCCTCCATCATGAAAAGTTTGGGTGTTTCTTTTAAAATACTACAGCTTTACACTTTTATGGTGCACTTTTGAGGTATACACCCTGCAAAGGTTTTACTGCCTGCTGCACCATAAAGAATAAATGAGAATTTGCTTCCTGTTATCTTGCTCTGGATGGTTCTCCGAGAGCAAGCAAAAACAGCTGAATTCTCAGCAGGCTGAGCTGTGTCTCAGTTCTGGCAAAGCACAAAGAAACTTGTCTTCAGCAGTAAATAGAACAAGCCCTGTAAGACAAATACACATGCTGTATCAAGTGTGTGTTGAATACTATACAGATGGTGTCTAAAAACAAAGTATAAAAACTATTTTCAAGTCAGACACCCCTTAGCTCAGGACTAGTTCTCTTTGATTAAACACCAAAGAAAATAAACATACACCTCTTTGTAAATTATGACAAAAAAAAAAACAAACTTCCAAAACTTTGGATTGCTCAGCTGAGTGAGATGGTCGTGTGAGTAAATAGGGCTACTGTATGATATCCATTTGCATTATAAACAGGACCCAATCGGATCACAGGACTCGGCTTTGTAACTGCATCTGAAAAGACCGTTGCACATTCATTACCACCTGAAAAAAGAAGTTGGATTTTACCCAACAGTCAAGTTGGATTTTACTAACTCATCTTAACCCACCCGTAACTTTTATCCTAGCAGAGGTGCCATGCAATGCTTTTACCTTGCCTGAATAAGGCTCTACTCCGAGCTGGTTAACCGAGGTAAAAGAACCTGTGAAACGCTTGGAAATTTGAAGTTGCGATTAGATCACAATTAGTGAAAACGTTCAAGCCAAACCTGAACTTAATTTTCTTGTGTAAACAACAGCTAGAAGGCACCGATCGAAAACTGAATATGCTCTGAGAAACTAGCATTTCAAAAGAGTTTCTAGCTGGATCCAATCAGACAAAAAGCACATTTGGAGAGCTGGCTTTTCTACGTAATTAGCTGATTACTTTTTCAAAGCACTATACGAGTCTAACAGTGCTATGCAGTGTCATTACACCATTCATCTTCTCAGCACCAGTCATTTTCAAACAACCATGAGAAACTCAGCAGCTGCTAGCTCTATACAGAGAGAAGGGTTTAAAACTGCACTGAACTGCTTTGGGCCACACAAGTGGCATTTCTCAAGGGAAGCCATCAATTGCTATCAAACCAGAACAGAAATATTTCATCTGATATTCACACCTCCCACTAAAAATTAAAAGCCATTAAAAAAGCAATCAAAAATGAAGTAGAGAAGTGTGATGTTTAAGTCAACACCCCTTGAATGTCAATCAGAAAAGGTATATCATGACAACAATAAAGCAGCCCTTGTCAATTTATACTGCTCAAATAAAACAGAGGAAAAGCTGTTTATGTTCTCAAATGCAGTACAGTGAATTAGAAGACTCTTGTAAACATCACATGATTTTTATGCCATTTTCCAGAGCTCCTTGCCAGGATACACAGCACTTCTCAAGGCCTGTTATTGCAAACATCCCTTCTGAATGTAGGGGCTGCTACACCGAGTCAACTGAGTGGTCCAGCCAGTCTGATACCTAGATTCAGACATGTGGTCTGTGTAAGATGCATCACAGAAAGGTACAGGAAACTTCATGACAATTATGCAATGATCTGCCCACAGAGGGTGCATCTTGGTACCTGCAGACAGACTGTGGTTGGGTTTGCATGCCTAAGCAAAAATCTGTGCCCTTTTAAAACTTTTAATCTGTAATGTAACAATGGATGTGTTTATTAGCTACATAAATGTTTAATCCCTATTTAAATCTTACTTGCCCTCAACATCACGATAGCAAGTTTTACAGGTTAACTGTTCTGCATAAGAAAACTGCATCCTTCATCAGGGCATAATACCCGCTTGTTAGTCACTCCCCCTGGAAGTACATGGTTGCAGGACAAGGTCCCTCCTAGCTCTTCAAGGCAGCATGTGTAAAGCATCACCTACGTTTACAATACTATTCCCATTTTGTGTAGCTTCAGAGAGCTACACAGAATGACAGAAGCATGCTGAATGCACCTTCCTTCTGACACGCACCGGTTTCTAAATAGATTTTGATTTGCATTTCTGTCCATCTCTCTCCAAATTGGCACAAGGTCAGGATAGTTGGCCTAAAGGTACTTTCTTACCCAGTTTACAATGAGCTTCCTCACTGGCAGAAAGTCACAGAGACATCTTTCAAGTGATATGTAATTTCAATGGCGTTTACAAGAAAAACGTGTTGGTGTTACTAGCAAAACACTATAAACCCACTGGGGGACTTGCAGATTCCTGCTAATTCTTATTAATTCTCCCAAGAACTCCCTTTTAACCATATTTTTAACAAAATACTTTGAAGGCACGCTCTCTCTCCTATTAAATGCCAGGAGTTCCTGTGGAGCCTTGCCAGCCACTGTTTATTTTTGCTCAATACATAGACAGTATCAATATTTCCTTCCCCCAATCTTATTTTCCCCCTTTCACAAAGATATTTCTTCTCTTACTACCCAGATCTCTGCTAGTCTTTCCAGGAAAAAGATGACAGATAAAACCTTCAGTAGTATTTCTAGCGGGCATAACAATAAGTGCTATCGGTGATTGACACACTCCTCAATTAGAAATTGCTGTTTTATCTTTTATATGTAACAGCGCATTTCTGCAAACGTGACAAATTTCTCCTTCAGTACCACACTTGATACCTAGGCTTTGACTTTTCCTTCCTGTGGTACAGACCATATTCCTACCACACAAGTCTACAGTAAAGCTTTCCCGTAGTGGGACGAGGAGTTGCCTCACTTACCTCGTCTCTGGATTGTAGCCCAATATGTAGAAAAATGAATCCACTCGGGCTTTAAACTCTCTAGCAGCAAATATGTCAGAAAAATGGGAGATGTTACACTTCCCTCTGAAAGAAAGAATACACTGTATTAGAATCCCATGCTGAACGGTTCAATTAAATAAGTACCTCTTTATTTTGAAGATAAGCCCAGAGCTGCCATGTGCACTTTCAACACTGATGTCACCAACATTTGTGCAAACTATTCCATTGATGTCAATGAAAGGAGATTCAGTTATTATACAGCCCTCAAAAGGTACTTGACAAACATTCATTAATTTTTGTACAGCCAGAAGTCAATCTGAGGCAGTCACAAATGAGCAGGATACAGTTCAAATACAAAATCTGCCCCCAAATGCAATGTATAAAAATAATTTCCTGGGTTTTTTTTAACCAACTCTGTAAGGCAGCATTACAAAACTCTACTATTCACCTAGCTGAAAAACTGTATGCCTGGTTTGTTTTTGTTTTTTAAATGGGAAAGCAAATCGTCAGTCTTAATCACCACTCTTATGAGGCTGGAGTGTGTTTTCGTGTTGCAGCAGATAAATTTTCACATCAGTTTGCGAGACTGCAATTCTTATTATTACACTGTAAACAATATGGAAAAAAGGAGTTCTGACAGCACAGTCACTTCATTGGGAATAACACCAGGCAAATCTTATTCCTTCTGTCCAAAGACTGCCTAGACAGATTTAATATAGGATAGATATTCCCCTAAAAGACCCATATTTTTCTTTAACCTACAAAAATTCACAAGGAATTAAAACACATCTTTATTAAATCCGCTATTAAAAGCTCTTTCCTGCTTTGTTCTAAGTTAAAGCTCAGACCAGCACCAAGACAACAAAGGGACACCTCTTCCTTCTTGGGCACTCATTGGCAGTGTTTGTGAGTAATACTGGTTTGCAGGTATTCTACCATTCTCCAAGTATTCTATAGATGTCTGCACACAGGTGGGGACCCCGAGTCGCAAGACTTTCTTTTCAGTAGTACTAAAATCTAACATGAATATTTGGAGCATTTCCTTTCATTTGAATCATTTTGACCATTCGTTCCTCTAGATCACGGGTTCGCGGCCCACGGCCCAGAACCAGCCCATGAAACAGTGTTATCTGCCGCAAAGGGCTCTCCAAGGATTCAAAAAACTGGCAGCAGGGCAGAGCCATAATTAACTGGCACTCCCCCTGTTGCCAAATTGCTGAATCTGTGCAGAGCCCAGCAGGCCAGATAGTATGGCCCTGCCTGCTAGATCAGAGCAGGGTAGCCATCATAGAAGACATTCCGGTTTTCTGCTACTCTGTCTTCTATCGATACGAAACCCGATGCTATGTCCTCCATTTTTCTGTTCAAGAAAAAAATTCTCGCTTCAAGAGAAAAAGAGAGGACATAATGGCATCTATAGCTAAGTGGTGGTCCATCTAGAGCAGTGGTGCTCTACCATTTAAAGCCATGGAGCAGAGGAGTGGCTGCCCCAGCCCTGCACCTCTAATATAGGGTGGCCATCACAGAGGACAGTCCGGTTGTCCTCTGTCCTCTATTGATATGAAACCTGATGCTGTTATATCCCGTATTTTTCTCTTCAAGAGAACAGAGGACAACCAGAGGGCTGCAAAACCGGATGCTAGGATTGCCTCCTTATAAGTCAACTCCTTTGGCAGCCATGCTCTAGAACAGTAATTTTCAACCATCATGCTGTTGTGAAATCCTTTCAAGGGTGCCATGCAATGTTAGCACTGTTAGATATGCAAACACGATTTGCAAGATAAACCCAGATATTTCAAATGGGAATCCCCAGGTGCCTATACACATGCACTGAGGCTGCTCCAACATGCTGTAATTACAATGAGTCAGAGCAGACTCAATCAATCAAGTCTGCTAGAGAGTGCTAATTACCACACTCCAACAACACGTGTATCAGCGTCCCTGATCTGCAAAATGGCAGCAGAGGTGCTTCAACTAAAGCTCATTCGACCAGCTTTAGTTAAAGCACTCCCACCACCATTTTCCAGCGCAGGATCGCTGACATATGTGACACTCCAGGCACCTTAATTACAGAGGCTCTCTGAGCCACTCTAATTAAAGCCAACCCCCTCCCCGAGCACATGTATAAATGCCCCAAGTATTAAAAACACTCTGACCCTGTGGTTTTTCTAAGACCTTTGTACCAGAATCGCTCGAGTATTTTTCTGCAGCCAAAAACAGTAAAAATGAAGAGCTGGCAATTGGCATATCAATGTGTGCCTTGATTCTAACAAAGGGTGCCTTGAGTTTAAAAAGGCTGAGAACCACTGCTCCAGGGGCATAACACTAATGTATTTTTGGACAGCTGCTGTCAAATTGCAATGGAACATTACCACGGTCTACAGCTGAGATCAACTGTTTGGCCTGACTGACGCACTGACAATCCTATTCATCACTTAGTTTCATCTTCATTTCTTGTACACAGAAACAAAGATTTAAAAAAAAAAAAGCAGCTCTTCTGCTCTCTTTTTTCACAGTTTCCTATAGCAAGATCTTCAGTGTTTTTCCTATAGAAAATTCTGACAGAGGAGAGCAGAAGAACTACCATATTTGAAATCTGTGGGGGTTTTCTGCAAGAATTAAGATACTGGGAAAGTGATAAATTTTAAGGCAGAAGAAATTTAACTTTCCCTTATATAATGCCTTAGCATAATTCACCTGAACCAGTAATTCATAACTAGAATCCAAATCTGCTTCTCGCACAATATGGATTTACCCCAACTCCCAAAAACAGTACCACCTTTCATATAAGCAGGAGCAGGTATTGCTACTCATTTCAGGTAAAAGGGACTCTATTTAGGACACACTGGCATAGGGCTCCACAAGCACTTTCCACTTAAAATGTTATGCTGGGTACAGCATGGGACTGGGAGTTGGGACCACTGGTTCCATTCTCACACTGGCTTACTGTGTGACCTTGGACAGCCATCTCTTCGTGGAGGGTAAGGTAATGATCTAATTTATTACAAAGTAGAACTCAAAGTCAATACTTCCAGACCGCCCCATGTTTTCAGTGTATTTTTTTTGTTACTCCAGTTGTAAGATCATCAGAGCAGTCAGTCGTCTCATATCTGCATCTTGCATTCACCTGTGACAATTACCAGCACAATCTGCATTTCCTCCCATACAACCTATACCTTTTTCCTCAAAAATCACCCGCCGCCCCGCAAACTAATGTATTAAGCATGAAAGCTGATTTTGTGCCCAAGACAGAAGCACCTAGCTTTGATGACAGCTTCAACAGTGCAGTAGCTAGTGTACTGTTCAGGCAGCTGAGGGAGTAAATTGTCTTAATGGCTCATTGTTCTTCACTCCAGTGGTGCTAAAGATCCTCTCTCCTTTCTAATGGGCTCAATGTTCAACTAATCAAGTTAACCTTTCTTAGTGCAATTTTGCTGTCTGCTTCTGGCCTGTCTCTCTCTCTTCCTGTTTCACAGCCTTAGAGACACTTTACTGATTTTCAAAAGCAAAGATCCATGCAGGGGACTTGTCTTCACCAACAACTAGGGTTTCAGCTTTAGTTGAGCAGGAATGAGTGGATGAGTCAGCTGAAGATTAGGCTCTGTCCCTGCTCTATGCAGCCATAACTAACTCTGGAAAAATGTTTTCTTCTTAATACTGTGCCTTTCAAAAACAAGATGCCTATTATATTACAGGCCATGTTGTTGGTTAGAAAAGATGGTAATAAAATGCTACTAGGTAGAGGAGGAGTGGAAAGACTTGGTTCAGCTCCTGATTTTTCGAACAGATCATTTGCCTGAATGTCAGCATTTAGAAACGTGACCCCCTACAAGTTCTGCTGCATTTTTCAAAGGGGTTAATATTAAAATGTAGCTCATAAATATACATGTAGTCACTGTCACAAATGGGGGGGGAGCCAGAATGAGAATTAAATAAGCCAACAGGAAATGCAGTCAACAGTCATTTTAAAATGCTGAAGTATTTTGTAGCACAAGTCCGATATGCCAGATTTAAAAAAAAAAAAATCTATAACTGCTTGCATTTTACTCTGTTATCACTTTGTTTTGGCTTTTTAAAATATTTGTTTAGGTTTAGCTTTCTCTTATAATGGGGGAAGAGAGGGAACACAGAGCAAGAGCATCTCAAATATTCTCAGGGAAAATTCCAAACACGTTTCAGTTTCCTCAGTGTCTAAGCTGACAATTAAATTTTCAAGCCTGGTTCCATCAAGCCAGCCAGCCTCACATTAGCTTGCTATCTTCTCTAAGCATGCCAATTTAATACTGGAAGGGTACCTTCCTCGAGACATAAAAAGCACTGTGGAGTTTCAAGAGAAGATTACAGTACGCCACTGGAATTTTCTGACTTTATCTAAAACCCTGTAATAAGTCGTATCAAAGATTTTTGTTCCCCTCCCCTACAGCAGAGGTTGCAGCTAATTTGCCTTGAAGAAAGTGGCTTCAGCGAAGTGGCTTTGAACAAAGAAAATGTCTCCAGATGGTTTGAGTGAAACACCATCTGAGCATTATCATCTGGGAGATTATTCGGTTCACATTTTGACAATATCCATGCACATTTTGGCATGCCGAAAAATTGCTGAAAAATAATGTCTTAGTGTTTCTATCTGAAAACATTTTTAAATAATCGTGTCTTTTCTCTGCCTGGTCAAAGGTTAGCCACTTAAGATAAAATCTAACTGGGTAAAGAGAGCAGCAACCCTGGGGAAGGACAGATAGTACAGAGAGACCAATGCAAAGGTTTGCTACCGCCTGTCTGTAATAGCAAGCTTTTAATGGAGCTCTCAGCCGAGCTTCAACAATGACTTCTGCCTCAGAGCAAAAGTCTTTAATGCAATTTATCAGGGCTGCACTAACAGTCACGTTTGCAAAGGGAGGTTATTGTTAACGATAAAATGAAACAGAGAGGAGGGAAGGTGACTATTTCTGCAACAACTAGCAATAATCTACAATTGCAATGACGGAAAACAGTACCTTCTGAGCAGCACAGACTAGCCGAGATTAAAATAAGATTTTAGAATCACAGATTCTTTTCAAATTAAAACGGATAACGCAAGTTAATTATTGCCTGAGATGGGAAGGAAGCTGATCAGTATGCTAATGCTCCCCAAACCGGAAAAGACACAAAAAGGCAGCTCTTCCTCTGTGTTAACAGGTTTTCATTTGATTGGGGGGGTTTTTTGGGTTTGTTTGTTTTTTTTTAATTTTACAGTCTCTCTCTGGGATGCTGCACAAGGTCCTCTGCAACTTACCTCAGGGCAGCAGCATGGTACGTGTCAACGTAATCTGAAATGAAGAGCTCTCGATTCTTGATCACTGGGTCTGTGATAACAAGCTCTCGTCCAGAGTCTGCAAAAAGAAAATGACACACTGGCTGCAGAATCCCAAACCAGCTACCTCTGCAGTTTCCCAGGCTCTTTGTAGATAGAAGCCTGAGGCTAACGCAAACACACAGAGTTGCCAATATGTCCACATTACCCTGATGTTTTAATCATTTTAATATAGTTTTTCTATGGTTCTCGCTATAGGCATATCTGAGGGACTCACAGATGACAAAAAAGCTTGTACTTGCAGCACCAGTCAGGCATGGTAGCAACGTTTCCCCCAAATTCTACAAAGGGCTCGCTCACAGAAACCCCACCACGTTGCATCTCCTAAGAGGCGTGCTGGAGAGAAACAGATTGTCTGGGTACAACTGGAAAAAAGTGCCTGGTCTATCAGGCTCTACTGGGTGAGCACCTTCCTCCACAGCCCCTCTCCCCACATCTGCCACGTCTATTATACACAGTTTTCTACACGAGCCTTTTTGATCAACGTCACCTTCTATGGCAGAGACAGAAAAAACAGTAAACACTAATGATACTAACATGGGGTGTTCCTCGTTTTTGTTCAATGACTATCCTGTAAAGACGACTTATTTTTAGTTCTCTGCCTCTGCCTCCGCCTCCCTAATCCCCCACCTCTCTCTCCCACCACCCGAAAGCATGAACTATTAAAACAACATCCATTATGGAACTGATCCAGAAACATCACAAGTCACCAACTCTAATTTTTTTAAGTAACTTAAACCTCTATGCCCCTGAGCAGATTTCACCTTAAACCTTCACCAAGTCCTGTCTCTCTCTTCACTAAGCAATGAATGGTATCATTGAGCTGTGAAGAACATGCGTTTTCTGGTTTAAAATGGGAATAAAACTCCAGTCCCAAGTAAAATCCCAAATGCAACCTTAGGTGTTGGATCACTAGTGACATCTTTATAATCCCTACTTAAACGCATAAAAATACTTCTTATATGCAGACAGTGTTACATAATCAAAGCATTAAAGTTATGAAAACATGCTGGCTTTCCCATCATGCTTACAACTCCAACGTTAGATATTTAAACAGGACTAGTAAATACCGAAGCACACAAAAGCACTCTTTGTCATGTCACCAGTAAGGAGGAAATCTGCATAGATCTGTAACACTACGTGCCATCTGTGCAGATATTTAAAACATTTAAAATATAATTGTATATAACAGTTCACCTCCCAAGATCTTCATCGTTTTAGAGACAGCCTCAAAGAACTTCCCAGGTTGCAAAAGTGAACCAACCAAGTTTTACAGATGAGCCGGGGGGGGGGGGGGGGGGGGG